CAAATATACACAGCATAATGGGGCTCGAACCCATGTATAATGGTGGAATATTTATATGATGTATCATTGGCGAAGTTCGCGGTCTTGCTCTGCGTATTGCACAGGTGCATATCACGAGTGAAAGTGCTCGGCATAAAGTACTAATAATGAAGCTGCATTGTCATGCTGACAATAAAAAAAAAACTAGGAAAACTTCCGCTACGTAGAAATACGATCAACGAAGCCCAAAGGACTTGCCCCGAAACCCAAGGAAATTTCCCTATTGGACTTTTCGCGGGTACGTGAGCATTTTCCCGGGTGATTAATAAGCCGAGGATACTGGTGTTTGCTAGCTCTATGTTGCCCTAGGTTGTGCACGCGTAATAACAGAATTAATACGCGCGATATTCCCACAAGGATGCGTTCGTGCACCCCGGGGCTGTGAGAGACGAGGTGAGCCAACGCTTGCGCGAGCAGACGACCCACCGCCGCTAAGGCTTTGCAGCAGCCGTAGGAGGCGCACGCCAATTTCTGGAAAGGTTCATTCTAGCAACGGCGGCAATCGAGGCGCCAGACCGGGGGTGACGGCCAGACTGGCGCGCCAGAAACCAGCGAAAAGAAGAAAACAAGCATCACAGGACTCGTCGGGCGCGCCGCCCTCCCCCTCGAAAAGCGTCATCGCCACGCTGACCAACCTCCTCGCACCTATCGCCGAGCGACCTCCAGAATCATCGAGAAGGAAAGCGTGAGTCCCTCCCTAAAGATGTTTTCTTCATCATCGAGGAGAGTCTCGCCCCTTCCCCAGCTGTGGCTGTGCAGCGCGCCGACGAAGCTTCTCGAACCCAGGGCGAACGTACTAAGGGAGCAGCGGTGGCGAGCGAGAGATGAAAAGGCAGGAGATGAAGAGAGTCTGCCGCCGTTAGGCGAAGTGCCTGTGTCTTTAGTGACAAAGCAAAGGAAATGAAGGGGTTAAATAACCCCATTCAAACTTGATTCAAAGAATTGTGGACTCATTAAGTGTGACGAACGTTTTTCTATTTTCGAAGAGTTTTGGTTAGGGCATGAGATTGCATTGTTGCGCGTGTTGTTTGTACCCGTTGTTTTGAGTATGTCTTGCTGTGCTGTGTACCGGTCGTTTAGAGTACCTTGTGATTCGAGGCATATTGTATTCGTATATTGCCGAGTGTGCACATTTGTGTGGTGTTTGTTCTGCTATATTTGAGAATATATTTTTGTTTTGTTATCAACCCTCGACTTTGACTCGTTCTTCGGACCAGAGCCGGCATTCGCTAATGTGCCAAATAAGACCATATCTTAATTATCCTTGCTTTCGTGGTGCAGTTCGGGGGGCCGATACTCCAGCCCTTACTCCCTAATTAATGGCACTAGTGACAACTCACTTCAAGCATATTTGTTCATCGTTGTCAGCTACTCCATGAATATACTGTGCAATATTCCTAGCAAATGTGTAGCGGATACCACACTTCTCTAAGGAATGGTGAAGGATGGCATAGTGGATGTCAGCCTACTAGACAAAACGTCCCAGTTCCGCCGCAAAGACGAAGCATTGAATGCGATAGCAACAACTTCGAATGTAACGCTGAGAACGGTAAGCATCGAAACGTGCAGCGCGGTGTTCACGCACAAATGAAGCACTGAAACAGCATACGCAGGACGAGAGCTAACAACGTTTACCACTCGACACTTGTGTTGCTTAAACGATGACGCTCGAAACGTAATCACAAGTAAAAATGAGTGCAAACTAACAAGTGTCCTAGTTTTCATACTTCGCTGTGTATGAAAAGCGCGCTCTTTTTGCTAACGGGGTCTGTGTAGTGGAGCGAACTGACCTTTGTGGGCCCGGCAACTAACGCAATCGTTCCGGTGAAAGCCGAAGGCCCACGATTCTCCACACCGAAGGATAAGTGCGGGCACGCAAGCACCTACCCCTCCTCTCCCCGATTTACGAGGCAAAGTACATGTGGGAGATAAGCGCATGTCGGTGCATCGTGACGAGCAGGGTGCCGAGCGCGCGCGGCATTTTCTTTCTTTCTTGAGTTTCTTGATAGGGTAAATGACGGCGGCGGCAAAAAACCAGCCAAGACTGTATACAATTGCTATCGCAATAATATTTTAACTATTTATGACGTAGCGGGTACCTAGCAAGTGTGCTTGTAGCAGTTATTCAAGGAGTTTAAGAGAATGCTTTGAAAGGCCACTCTTCTATCTTTCGCTATGACAGTGCTGTGCGTTCCATGCAGACCTGGTGCTTTTTTTTTTCTGGCCCGCCGTCTACCGTTCTGTACAATGTTATGGTTCTTCTTGAGAGTCCTGCCAACGCCGTAAAAGACCAGCTGAGCACCCTGCCGGGCTCCTTCAACCGATCGACTTCTTTCGTGTCAGCCTCGACCTGCTCGGCATTTTCTCTCTTTCTAACAGCAGTAACAGGTGGGTTACGGTCGCTACAAATTATTCAACCCATTTTTGCCGTCACGAGGCCTCTCCCGAGCAGCTGCGTTACAGGTGTCACCAACGTTTTTATACAAGACGACATCTTACATCTCGGCGCTCCTCGTCAACTTGTCACGGACGGTGGTCGCTACTTTTTGTTTAAGGTGTAGTATCTTGCGTCGGACGCGACGCACAGAGAACACAGGGCACGACGCTGAAACGCCGGCTGTCAACAGGAACTCTCTTTATATACACAAGCACGAAGTTTATATATATATATATATATATATATAAATAAATGAGATCTAATGGACAGTAATGCCAAGGAATGTACAGGGGAAGTTATTAGAACTAATGGAATGTAAATAAGAAGAAAGAAAAGTGGATGAAAAAATAACCAGCCGTGCTCACAGCTGGTTATTTTTTCATCCACTTTTCTTTTTTATTTTTTTTTTATTTTTCATCCACTAACAATTGCACACAAACACTGAATACAATATAAACAAGATGAAATTTTCAGTGAAATTATACAATATACATAATGCATGCTGTCTGAATTATTTTCAACATTTGGGCTCTCTAAAACTTTCTTAAAACTAAGCACACGGTAACTCTGTTTTAAGTACAGTTTGAGCATTGATTTGTCACAGTTTATGTGATAATATGATTCATATGTAGTGGTACCATGACAACATGAACACAACTAAGGCTTCTCGCATGATCGATAAGCTACAGTGCCATAGTTGTACCCCTACCAACAGGGCGCAAGTGCGTAACAAAGGGCCTGTTTTTTTTGTTTTATATAACCGAGTCACTATAAAACGCTGCATTCACACACCATTTAATAGTCCATGTTCGGGAGGATGCCAAGAGCATTTCGCAATGTGCTTGAAACAGAAAGCTCCTCTTAAATCTGAAATTATTCTGGTGAATTGAGGGTACGACAACTGTAAACAGCACTCTGAAAAGTTGCACTCGCTGATCTTATTACAATGCATTAGCAGCCGAGAAAGACCAAATGCTTTTGTATGTCTCTTCACGCACACGTAGAAATAGTTACACTCACGGTGACATGAACGGACAAACCGTACTTTTGAGAACGTGCATGACGTACACGCAATAGAAACATGACGTGGCTAGCAGACGACGCACGGAGCAATCCATACTTTGCCTTTTCAGCCAGTTGCCGCCAGGCAGAGGCTCTGCTCGACTTCGCGGCCAATAGAGAGACAGCATGGCACGCCAAAACGTTTTGCGCGGACGCGCTGCGACAGATACGCGTAGTCAGGCCTTTATGCGGATGCCTCTTTCGTGCTGTTCCTCCCTGGGGCAGTGATCGAACGCTCTACGCTGTTTTCTACGCTGTTTGATATCGAATTAAATAACTTTTACGTGACGGATGCCATTCAAATTTGGCCAAGAAGACCTATGCATACTAAGCGATCGAATGATGGGAACATCTCGATCTTGAAATTTGATGCGAGTGCTCCTTTAATAGTTTCCTGTCGGGAAAGACGACGTCGTTTTCCTTGCAACAAATATCGTGTTTGCATCCTCGTCTGTAAATTGAAGACCTTTTACGGTTTTAGGATGCGAGCTTTCACTTTTGCTGCCAGTGCACTGTCATACGTAAGCTTGGCAAGTTGGTGACCATCGGTGCTGATCTCCCGGCTGCTAACGCAAACTTCGTATCACGCACGCGGTTCTTGGTTCACCGCTAGTGCAATCTTTTTGATGCCAAATCCTCATGTTTTCGACCAGCTTTCCGTGACAACATACCAAATGGCAAGCTAGATTTCCATCGGTAGTGGTCGCGTGAATCTAAGTTGCGGTTTGGTATCGAATCAACGAAACTTTTGCGGTGGCCGCACTTGACAGGAAGGGATACATATCGTTAAATAAAAACAAGGGCGGCACATGTAGCGCTTGAATAGTGGTTCGCGATTCGATTGCGATGTCATAAATAGTGTATGCACCCATGAAATCGATTGGTTGGCGTCTTTCAACGTATCAAATTCTAGACATGACATAGTTTCTGTGTAATGCGGATAATCGAGGCAGTCTGGTAGCCGGCGAATTCTTGCGATGGTGCTTTCACTTGTTAGACACCCCTCCACCTCCCTTTTTTGTTCATTTCATTGGCAACGCCTGTATTTGGACGTTAAATTCTTTTAACATTCCGAAGTTTAAACGTTAGCAAGCACGCATCGCATGATTCGATTCTCGGACACGTGAAGGTGCATGCTTAACACCTTTTGCACAAGTGCGGCCCTTGAAAAGGTTGTTTTGGTTATAGCGCGGTACCGCTTATAGTGCAGATATTTGCGACTCTGACTTACGTTATAGGCGGCCTATGCTGTATGTGGTATTTCAAAAGCTTTTGAAGAAGACAACACGAGTTCACTTAGATCTCCCTTTTCAGACTTGACCACAAGCGTCCAGCAAGTCTTTTTGCTTGAACTTGAGAATTTCCCTCTCTCTTTTTCTTTTTTGTGACACTACGAGAACCATTATTGCAATCCCTTATGTTTCTCGTCTGTTTTGTAACAAGTTTAGTCAAGAGTGGCACCTCATTTCACAAGCATATTTTATTAATTAACAGTCATGAGGCAGAAATTTACAGAACTAACCAACTGCGACAGCATCTCAGCATTTACTATTAGCCAGTTTTGTTTTACATTTGCAAATCACGAATGACATTTCACCTTCAATATGACTAATTAGAAAGCGATGATTAAAAGTTTAGAAAAAATAACACAGGACATTGTCTACAGTTTTAACATGCTTAAATGTTGCTAAATATATGTTATAAGGAAGACTGCAATGCCCCGTGACTCCTTTGAAACCGATTGTCACCTCGTGTAAAGCGGATGAAACAATGAACAATGAGAATTGGTAGCAGTATATAAATGTATATTTACAGTCATGCAGCCATATTACAAAATTTCTACAATATTTCCTATCTTCTCCTTCCTGGACTCTTAGACCTTGATCTCCTAGTTTTGGACCTCCGCACTGGTGATGGACTTTTACTGTATGACCTGGAAGCAAAAGAATAATGAGATGCCATAAGGAAACAAGAAAAAGTATTACAGGCGGGTAAACACTGCTGTGAGAAATGGCCGCGAACCTGCATTGTGTTACACCATAAAAATGAAAAAGATGACGGGCTTTTATTCCAGTATAAAAAAGGACAAAATGAAGATGGGCTGCGACACTGAAAGCAACATATGAAGTGAACATAACAGCCCATTATCCTGGTTCATCATACCCTCTGTCAATTTTGCGCCATAATACACAACATAATTGATAATTGGATGCAAATTAAAAGTTTCAGCATGTGACAACTTGCAGCTTTCAAGCATAGAAAAAGGTAAGTTATGCAACATTGTAAATAAAACTTTCTATAACAATAACTCAGTCTCTATACTAAAGAAAATGAACTACAAGATATTGTGCCAGGACATCCACCTTCAATTTAAATAACACAGATTTGTTTCATATTCAGCATTATACATTTGCAAACAGCTGCTACTACACTCAAACCTTGATATAATGAACTAAATGAAAAATCATTTTGCAATAGATTAGGTGGTAGGAATATACCTTTATAATGAATTTTTAGATATTGATTGATTGATTGATATGTGGGGTTTAACGTCCTAAAACCACCATATGATTATGAGAGACGCCGTAGAGGAGGGCTCCGGAAATTTTGATCACCTGGAGTTCTTTAACGTGCACCAGAATCTGAGCATAGTTTTTTTTAGATATAACAAACTCATTTTTGTGTATGATGCAACTTTGCTATAACAAAGTGCGAGTGTAGTTTAAAATCGGAGAGCTAGCGCTCTGTTTACACAGGCATATTCAGGGTATCGTGCAACGAGTGCAGCATTGATAGCACGACGGGCATGCTACAATTGTTTACGAACCACTATCTTGATTGGCCATCAAGACGACGTGCTTTAACTGGCCTAGATGAACAAATAAACCAAATACTATACATTCCTGCGTATGCAGCAGCCATAACTATTGGCCAAAGGACAATGCTGACAGCACCAGACACTTGTTTTCCTAGAAAAAGATATCACCTTAGGCAAGACATGAACGTGTCAATTTTTTTATGCTGCACTCCAATCTGGCTTTGTAACTACTGCTGTCAAAGCCGCTAGTCCATTAAAGTATCGGCACATATACATAACAATTCATAAACTTCTTTGAAAAAACGAGCATCAGTACCTCGAGTCAAGTGCCCCAGCTCCAATAGATTTTGCCCAAATAATTGAAGGGTCAGTCATCAAGCTACATTGCAAATTCTGGTTAGAAATTTGATATGGCACGAGCAGAAAACGTCAAAGACACAAAGCACAATTGTGATGGGTGTGACATGACAGAAAATTATAAAGTCACAGTCATCTTCCCACTACACCCATACCTCATTATAACAAAGTTTCATCTTACATGAAAATAGGTTCGTTATATTCAAAGATTTGTTATAAAAGTTTATTCTTAACACTACATCTATTGCGATACCATTCATTTACTTTGTTATAACCAATATTTCGTTATATCAGAGTCCGTTATATTGAGGTTTGACTGTAGTACCCAAGTTGCCCTCATTAACAACATGTCGAAGTCCTACTCTTCTATGCTTCCACCACCCCTCATCGACCACCCTTATTCTATACGTTCATCAGCAGCTTTAAACGCTTCTCTATCTCAAACTACCTCACACTTGTTTGTCACAGCACTGAGCCTCGACCTCTACCGGGGTACGTCACGGGCGCATGTGCAATGCGGCAGTTGGAAAACTACCCCACTGGTGGCTGAGTGTGGTACAGTCATGTAATGCTCGGGGCAATTATTTTTTTTTTTTTTTTTTTTTTTTTTTTCAAAGCTTAAGTTTACTCTTACACTGGCCACATTAGCTGTCATATGTGTCATAGAACATATAGGTGTGCGGTAAACTGCGCGGTGAAGTATTTGCCATCCTGGCTGACTGTTTATCTTGGAAAACACACGGTGCGAGGAACGGTGGCATCGTCTTCGAAAATGTGCAGTGTTGATTGTGGCGTGCAGTGTGCGTTGTCGCATCGACGAATTTTACGGACGGTGAAATTGAGAATACTGTGCATGGTGTGTGCGGTGTGACTAACGATGCGTCTTGTTTGTGAAAACCTTTGGCACTCGTTGTGGGCCCGCAGCAGCAACTGGTTGTGATTCACGATTCGACATTTTAGCCTAGGTAAAATGCGTTTGACGTGGACATCTGCGAGTGGGTACATCTCAGCGTTTGCGCTGCATGCAGAAAAAAGGAAAGAAAGTGCACAATCTCTGGGTTGAAAGATACGCCTGGCTATTAACATAATGCAGCATTGCCGAATCTGCACATATGCTTTTCAACGCTGAATATGCAAACCCAATAAAGGTATAATTCGTATTATCGGAGCCCTCGCACTTCTTAAGGTGAGACGCAGCCTTCGAAAACGAAAAAAAATCGCAAAAAAGTCGATTTTTGAGAAACCACACTTCAGGCAGTACGTGTCATTAACTACTTTTACTGCAAATATCAAAGTCTAACTCATCACGAAACTGTTCGAAATAAAGTTTACAACAAGCCACCGCAGCCCTCGAGCGACACAGGAGCGCTCAAAATAGCCCAACTTGGCGCAGTTACAGCTCCGCCATTTTGTTGCAGTTTTTTTGTGTGTGTGTGAATTCTTGCACTTTTTTTCCTGCCACACGTGGCAACGGCGGCAGCGCAGGAGAAGAGCAAGCTGCTCATGATTGGAGGGTTCGCGAGAGCTTTTTTTTAAGTTTCCCACGACAGAGACGCGCCGCCAGGATTGGGCGATGCACGCGCTCCTCAAGGACGAGAGGGACCCTGCCACTGCGAATGGCTGCTGCGCGCGATGACATCGGCCTCCCTGAGTGCGATTGCGTTGTCAAGTGTGCACTTGCGAACACATTTTCTGACGTGTAAAGAAAAAGAGGCAGCGTATCAACAACACGCTGCTGTTCAAAGAGAACTCAGCACTATGCCAGCGGCGATGCGGGAATTCCAGGCAATAGAGCGCAATCAACAGAGTGCGACCTGGTCATTCAACGGGCAGCCGAGAAAGATTCACTGCACTTGAAGAAGACTAAGAAGAGATCCTTGGAGAAGACGGAAAGGCGGCGAAAAAAGAGAGGGCCAAAGAACACCTCCGGTTAAGAGGCAGGGTTGTTTAAAATTTGCATATGTGCCCAAAACTTTCAAATGTCGTATTCTCAATATGACTTTTTTTGCTAGTGAGGCTGCCTGTTCCATCCATATCTGGAAACCACTCATCCCATTTTCATAAGTCTTTTTTATTATGTACATGAATAGTTGCTGAGGGTGAGACAGCCCATTTTTTCAATATATTGTGTCTGTTACTTATGAAACCTAATCAAAACTTGATTATTAATATCCCAATCACTAACACTTTATGTCTGTTATTTGTGATCCCTAATCAAAACTTGATTATTACCGTAATTACTCGAATCTAACGTGCACCTTTTTTCTTGTTAAGCGATTTCATAATCGCATGCGCGTTAGAATCGAGTAGGAAAAAAAATGAATAGGGTCATTCTATTGCCATCGGCATTTCCAAAATGACCCCCCCTATGTGCGTCGGCATGGCGCGTCGGCCATTTCTGCCTATGTGTTTCCCATGTGCGGCACTTCGTACGTGCGCTGAGGAGTTCGTCATCTTGTAGTGCATTAGCATCGATGGCATGGAAGGGCCGACTCCAAAAACTGAGTGCACCACGATGCCGCCTTTAAAAGAAAAGTCATCGCGTGTGCAGAAATGAACGGAAATCGGGCCGCATCGCGGTCGTTCGGAGTTCCCGAAACGTGCGTGCGGGACTGGCGGAAACAAAAGCAGAAGATTGTCGACAGCAAACATTCACGCAAAGGTTTCAGTGGACCACAGCAGGGTCGGTTTACGCAAATTCAAGAGCTGCTCGGCGAGTATGTGATTGAGCAGTGAGCGGCAAAGCGGCCCGTAATGACAGAACTGCTCGAAGTGCAGGCTATGCAGTTAGCCTTAGAAAAAGGGCTAATGCGGAACCAGTTCAAAGTGAGCAGGTGCTGGCTAACTAACTTTATGAAGAGGAAAATCTTTTCCCTCCGAAAGTGAACGGGCATATGCGAAAAATTTTGCGGAAGAGTACGATGAAAAGCTTCACAGTTTTCAGAGGTTCGTCATAGACTTGCGGCAGAACAACGGCTACCTGCTTGGGCAAATCGAGAATGCCGATCAGACGCCTCTTTACTTCGACATGCCTGGCACTACAACCGTCGAGAAGAAGGGGGCGAAGCAAGTTCGCAGGGTTGACATCGGTCCACGGTAAAACTACAGTGATGGCAATGCTCTGTTACACGTCAGACGGGCACAAGCTTCCCCCGTACCTCATATTTAAATGGAAGATGCTCCCGAAAGGAGTAGTTTTTTCGAGTGATGTGATCGTGCGGGCCAGCGAGAAAAATGGGTGCGCGTTACAATTGAGGGCGCGGTAGAATCGAGTAAATACGGTAATATCCCAATCACCAACACTAAATTTGATTGTCTGCTAGAACTTTTCCTTAAAGGGAGATGCGGGTCGAAAAACGAGTTTTTTTCAAAATTACCGATTTTTTATTTTCGTCTGTTTTGATTAGATAAGTACCTCTACTGTTATGAAAAAAATACAGGTCGAGACTTTACTGGAAATGCTTTAAAATTTCACCTAAAGAGCACAAGGTGCCTGTTAAAAAGTCGAAAGTGTGCAGTCTTCGAGCACCTTGCCGCCGATAATGCGCCGCCGCTAGCCATTGTTGATCGCACGAGTCGAAGAGTCGAGCCTCACTCTTCAAATAGCAACAGTTTCTCTCACTGATGCAGCGAAAGAAATAATAAAAAAAAAAATCACTCTTCTGCGCGTTTTTTGAGCGCCGCGACTAGTTTATCACATGGTACTAATCGAAGACCGCCATTGGCCGCTGCGGGCCTGTATGTGCTGTGAAACCAAT